TAACCATTTCACAGCTAAGATAGAGTTTAGTTTACTGATACAGCAATATCAAATTTCATCAGTTCAAAATTCAGTATCATTCTCATCCTAATAAAACATCCTGAATATGATGATGCTATTAAGCAAAAGATGCCTGACAGCATATCAAAACTAGATATAAGAACGGTGGCCTTTGACACGACAACACTAGTACATTACTATTGTATAGCTAAAAGAACTGATGCTTTGTTGAGAATAAATATTGTATGATGGACAGATGGACATTCATATATATCGCTCCTTTGCATTATTGTACAGTATCCATTGTCTGTACGTGTATGTGATTGGACAAGGAGACGTTCATTCCAAAGTAACATGTATGTATAGCTCCTCTGAAGCAGGAAGTGAGCTTCTGAGAATGAGTAGCGTGCTCAAGTGCGTTGCTAACTGTGTTTATACGTATGTATGTGCAATACATATATTTCTTCGATAGCATCCTTACTTCAAGAAACAAAGGAGTAAACACCGATTGTTGCGCCACACATGGAAGGAGCTGGATCGATGAACGTCACACACGTCAACACATCATCGACCACCATTCACCACTCGCTACTCATCAGCTCGTTATTAAATACATTATTTTAGATTTTTGTTGTTCCCCGGCCTAAGACAGCTTCGTAGCTACAGCCTAGCTGTAGCAACTACAAAGTCAACAATATAAAATAATAAAGGCCATAAATCCGTAGCTAAAAGCCACTGTGCGTTGACACGAGAGCTAATATGACGTTGCCACGATGACGGCGCTTCACTGGCGCTGGGGGAGCTCGAAGCTGTTGTGATGTTTTGATGTTATGTTCGTTAACGCAAGCTCACTGGCTGCCTGCTGCTGAAGTTGTCGATGCCATGCGTTTGAGCGGCGATGATGCAATCAACGTTTGCGTTCGCTTATGCATACATCAGTGTGTGTATGTGTGTGTGTATTGTGCCAAAACAAGCATTGCTGGAATTTATGAAATTTTTCGCGCAAAAATGGAGAAACAAGTCTGCGATTGATTACAAAAGCAATATTTAGAATCAAATAAATATTCACAAGCGAGCATATGCAAATCTGTGTATGTATGTGAATACCTGGGACTATCTATGCATGAAAATTTGTTGATTAAATTGTAACAAGTCCACACAAGTGAAACGATTGTTGTACACATGAGTATTAGAAGCGCGCCAATAAGAGTAGGCCGACTCTCTTGGACATATAGGGGTATATATATCAAAGTAAACATGCCTAGATAAGGTGGCGCATTTCAAGGCGCTGGGTAAACACTGATAAGCTGATAAAATTGAACGATTATTTAGTAAATAGTATATAATAATAAAAGAAATGCAAAATGTGCGTCGAATCGGAAGAAGACTTTATATCTGCCACATATTTTACTTATAACTTCATATATTTATTTATTTACGGCTTGGATAGGGAGTGGAAAACAATTTTTCAATTTTGGTTCATTTGAATTCCAAACATATTTAATTACGTTGCAGCGCGTTGAAAGGCCTCGTCGCCTGGAAATGCCAGCAACACGGGTCAACGAACCTGCTGATGTTTGCTGGTGATAACTCACCATTTTTTGACTAGTTTAATTAAAATCGGCTGTTTTGTTGTGTAAATAAAATTTTGAGATGTTTAAATAAATATGTGCTTTTGTGTGTGTGTGTGTGTGTGTGTGTGAACGAGCATTGAGCTACATATATTCACAACAATTTGACTAATTTACTGCTCACACTTTCCAAAATAAATTCATAATTTTATTGGACAAATAAAAATAAAAGCAATTTTATTAACAAATTCATTTGCACCTGTAACAAACAATTTAAGTGCGAAGTGAAAACAATCAATGAATAATTTATAGAAATTAATGCCTAAGACTGCTAATACTTAACATTTCGAATTAAGATTGAGAAAGTGGAATTCACGATATTTTACTTCGACCTCAACCTCAGCAGCCTAATTAAAGCTCGCTCTGATACCTGCCTTCGCTGTCGATTACTAGCACCCTGCAATTTTTCTTTCGCTCCTAAGGCGAATTCAATTGAGTTTTTTTTTTAAATTCAGAATTTCTTATCGTGAAGGAAATGTGCTTCGCTTAAAAAACTTCAATGCAGCTGCCTACCATATGTGACATGTCGGCCAACTTCGGCGCCGTCTGCGTGGCAGAATGCGATTATCGGTGTGTGGCGGTAGCAGTAGCAACAGAAGCTACAAGGGGCGTTGCAACAGACGCCACTGGTGCAGTGATTGTGCGGGCGTAATCAACCATCTAGGGAAAAGTAAAAATAAAAAAGCTTCAAGCACAATGCGCAGTGCCGTTCTACTCGCTACAGCGGGTATATACTGACTTGTTGTTGTTGCTTCATATATCTGTATTATTTTCTTACCCCGTTGTTATTTGCGCTTAACTTTAGTATTTGCCGTATTACGGGTTTTAATACACACTGCTGCTACATTTATTTGCGCGAGATTGCCATTGCTTCGCGCCTGTTGGCAGTGATAAAGCGAAGCGGACAAGTAAACATTCTTTCAAATAAATTAAAAGAATGTGCAAGTTGCTTATAGTAGTGGCTATATGGCAAGTTCAAAGTACTCACTGCTGATAATCCCGGTATGTGTTGGCGCAATCTGCAAGAATATTAAATCTTACAACGAGCATGTATATGTGCAAGTGCAGATTTCCCCGTCTCCAACGCACATTGATTTCATACACATTGATTTCATACACATTTGCTCATACTTAAGCACATCAGGCTCTATGTACAATCTAGGCACTAGATATATGGGCATATTTACTAACCCTTTGCTTGGGAATAGCTTATGTCTATATTGTAATGAATCACATATTGTGCCACAGTTAATAAACGTAGCGTTTAAGTCGCCGAAGTTCTCTATATAAAAATAATAACATATAATCATGTGTGTATGTGTGTATGTGCATTGAGTAAATTAGAACAAAGAAATTGTTACTTTTCTTCTAAATTCGCGCATCGCAGTTAAGTTGATTGCTGCTAAATCCATTAGTTTATGCCGCCGACTGTCTGGTTACTCATCCCGACTAGAAATATTCATCTTTATTGTTTTCTTGAATTTTCCTTTGGCTCAACGCCAAATTTCAAGTGACTTAATGTCGTTCGCGGGTGCGCTGTCTGCGCTATTTCTACTCGCTTTGTTTTTTCGGTTTTGCTTCTGCTCGATTTTGTGCTTTGTTTCTTGCGGCATCAGAACGCGTTGGTCTGACTGTCTGTTGTCTGCAGTAGTTTCATGGTGACCCTGTCTACTTGACCGCTTTAGTCTGGCTGACACGCTGTCTAAAAACGCAAACCCATGCAAAGCTCGCAAATATTTACATATGCATGTGGGTATGGTAGGTTTGTGTGCGCATTCATCTCTACATCCTTGAATTTAATTTGTAATTGGAATTGTAAATATTTACTGGCACAGTATTTCTCGAGCACCGCAACACCTATTGGCAGAGACACCAATTTATTTATTCGCTAGAATTAATTTAAATAAATAGTTGCAACCGCACAAAATTGCGAGTGATTAATTGAATATTTTTTATTGCTGTGCTGGTGCATGTAAGAACCGCTTGTTCGTTGTTCTCCTGAACTCAATAAAAATAATGGTAAAAAATATACATCAACTGCAAAGTTTGATTTCAGGAGGTCTTTCTCCTCGAGCCCCTTTATTGTGCATACAACATAAATATCGAAATAGGGCTGTCAACGACGCCACTTCAGCATCCTAAAATAATCCTCATCATCATTTGTACTCAATGCACCTCTTTGCTTAAATATTTTCATCAACATTCCCAGCTCCCTCTTAAGTTGACATAACATGCAATTCGCACAAAAGACCAGGTAGTCAGCAAAGGTAACTGTGCCTCAACATACGAAAATGCATGTTCAACTAGAATTGCTTTGTTGTTGCACCGGCTGTGCGCAATTTCGATTCGGAAGCAGTGGCGCATGTCGGTACTCATGACCCCATCTGTCTGTATGTAGTTGTTAGGGCCTTTTTGTGCTCTAAATTTTTCATATTTTTGTGCGAGTATTTTACGTTTTCACAAATTGCAATTGACGTTGTGCAAATAGAAACAGCAAAAGACAAAAATCAACACAACTGACAACATTTAAAATGCACCTTTTGTCGTATAAGCGAGCGCGCGCACTCGAGAAAGCCCAAACATGACATTTTTGTTTATATAAAAAAAAAAACTGGAAAATCAAAAAATAAGCGAAAAATGAAAAAGGGGCACGAACGAGTGGTATGGAAAAGTGCGTGCACTGTGAAGAAGCTGCCAGCTGACCTAGTTTAAGAGCCAATGCCGTTGCAGAAGCTGTGTGCTGCAGCCAACACTTGCTGTTCTAGTATCCAGCGAGCGTCGAGGCAGAGCTGACTGCGACTACTTGTGCAGCTTGAGTGTGCAACATCCTTGATGCCAAAGCAGAGATTTTACTTTCGTTTGGCGCGCCTCTTGCAACGTGCCGCTGCCTTACTGCTGCTCTTTAGCTGCAGTCGCCAAGCGTTTATTCTTAGATGTCTTCTTTGCTGCTGGCTGTTTACATTTGTGGCACTGCAAATTACTCTGCTTCCCTTTGCTATCCTCGCGGCACTTGTGCGCATCAACCAGTTTCGAAAAGTACAAATTAAACATAGTGATCTTATATTATGCTTCTACTTATGTGCATATATATTTATGTGTGTATGTGCATATGGGTGAGGAGACGTTGCGTATGTAAACAAACTTGTGCGTTTACCGTACTTATGAATTGTTGTTGCAGCTCTTAAGATTTCTCTACAATAATTAGTCAGAGCCTGAAATAATTTTAATTAATATTTTATGGATCCTATGATTTATTATATATTAAAATTTACTTAATGTATAAATAATACTTGAATATATCGACACTTTTTGGTTTATCGTATTTGTAATATAAACTATATATATGTATATATTTCTCCTTAATTTCAGGCGCCCTTCAAATCTGTCCGTTGTTTGGACTCGTCGTTCACGCCGCGTAGTTTCGATGCCGTTGGCCTGGGAGCCGGATATGGTGAATCCGCTGGTGGGCCACATATCCTGGCCAGTGCCAGATAACCATTCTATTTCGGTGACACTTTTTAAGGATCCACGCACCCACGAACTAGAAGATAAGGACTGGACATTTGTCATTGAAGATGTGAGTATGAAATAAATGAAAATGCCACGATTCATGGGTTCAATCAGAATATATATACAATACATTATATAACATTTATCAATTCTGGTTTAATTGGCTCAGCATTCGTTCCCTCGACGCACCGAATGGCTGTCGTAGCGTTTTATATTTTGGTATTTCCTACTCAAAACAAGCCAATTGAAATCAATTAAGCATGACTGATTGACATCAATAGCCGTAAATAAATATTTTGCGTATGTGCAAGAAAATCAAACTGCCGACGACGGCAACATTCATCTTTAACTCTGCCACATTCTTTGCAATCCATTTGAGTTATAAAATTAGTTACTAGCTAGTCAAGGTCGCTTTTTATAGCGTTTTAAAATTGTTATTTTTGTGCGGTAAAATTTGAGATACGCTGGCTTTTTGTTTGCTTGTTTAAATACTTCGAAAATTAAAACACGCTTTATTTTTAATTTGTAGCACACTTTCAAGCGTCAATAGAAAATATGGAATTTGGTGATGCGCCTAAAAATATGTTCAATTTCTTTCCATGGCGCACTGACCAACCCATTTAATCGAACTAAATACTCAATGCCATTTTCTGCTAACATTTTACTCTGAAATCATAAACTTAATCCATGTCAAGGCAAGTGTTGTATATCCGTACGTATTGTAAGTGTATGATGGCTCATTCACATAGGTCATTCGCAGATGCTTCTTTGTTGTCTGCACTCAATTTAATGGAAGCATAATTTGTGCACAACACTCCTTGCGACCTGAATGACTCGACATTGCGCGCATTTCTGTGTGTGTTAAGTTAGGTGGTTCAAAGATCCTTTATGGGAGTTTGTTTCAGTAGAAGAAGCCGGGCTCAGATTTGCACCTTTGTAACTCGTTAATCCCGAGGGGTTTAGTACTTTCTATTTCCCAAATGCGCCACAACAAAAAGCTCTAACTAATTGCAAATGAGTTTTTGTGGGAAAATATATGGAAATAAAGAGCTGAAAGCGCATTTGAATTTTAGTACTTATTATTTATTCCATTGTGGCTCCCTACAAAATCCTCATTTGCTATTTAAATCGAAGCAATGCTAATTTCTTTGCTGCGCTTGACTTGCTTTGACAGCGACTGTGGTATTTAATTGAAGTGAATGGAATTTAATGAATATTTTATTGTTAATTCTCGTGCAAAATTAAAAGCGGAATTGTTGTGGAGGAAAATTCACCCGCATACACCTTTGCATTTTGGGTGCTAAGGACGTTTTACATTTTCACTTTCAATGCCTCGAAATTCTGCTACCGAACACTCAGAAAGCTGTTGTTGCACTCTTGAAATGTTTCAGTGGCTCTTTTCATTTCTGCTGACTGGACTCAAGGACGACGTTTCGATAGCATGTCGATTGGCCTAGTCCCTGCGCCGTCACCTCTAATTGCATAGACGTTTTCGTCAACGTACATGGCAAAGGCGTTACCCAGTTGGGTTGGTCTCTGTTGGACTTGGCAATTTTACTTTTTATTTTTTTCGTGTTTTCTGTGTCCTTTCGTGCACCTTTTAAGCTTTCCATTCGCTCAATGAACCGCTAGTTGCTATTGTTGAATTATGATTGCTCAATTTTGTTGTTGCTACAACTGACATGCGGGTTGAGCTGAGATACTCGTCATTGCCGTTCGATATTCAAGTTCTGTTTTGTTTTACATTTTATTTTATTGCTGTATTTACCGTTTTTTGTTGCTCTAAGGATAGCAACATGTCGGCGCTTTCAACGACTTTCAACGCTCTGCTTGTGTTGCATTCCTAGCCTTTCAAGGTTGATTTTCATTTACAGTTACCGGCAGTGCTTTTTAAGTGGAAATGAATTGCACATTTGCACAATTGCCTGTGAATGAACAAATACACATACACATATCCGTGCATTTGTACAAACTTTCATTCGTAAGCGTTTGACGCTTATAGCTAAGCCATTATAAATATACGATCGATAGTCGACAGTCATGTTGAAATGTTAGTGGCGACCACTTGCGTTTTTGTTATTGTTAAAACTATTAAATGAGGAAAGGTTGCCGACTTAAAATATGTACTACTTTTAAGCTAAATTAATTTGTTAAGAGTACACATCTATTACTCCCCACTTACACACATACACATTCAACCAAATGAGTCATTGTGGAGCCACAGACTCAACCTAGATCGCACAATATTATTTCCGAGCACTTTGTTATGCCAAAAATATTCAACATATTTCGAATTCTTCAAATATTCTTAGCGAATTCATAAACTTGCCGCCTGAAAAGTCACGTACACCTTCATGTTTCCATATCAATAAAATTAATTCAAGAAAAGCAAATCGTGAAGAACTTTCATTGCGTTGCCAAAAGGCGCTCTAGCGTCGCGAACTGTGTCATTTCATACATTCCTTTTCGTTTCGACAGACGTCACACACTGTCATCGACTTCGCTGAGAATAACATTAGAGCGTATTGATATAAATATTAAGAAATATTTAAAATTCTTCCTTTTTTTAGACTCTGCCAACCATTATAGTAAAGAAGGTTAAACTTACAGGGATGGTCATAAGTAAAACATAAAGAATACCAGCAATGAAAATACGAAAATTGCAATGTTCTTTTTTGTAACGAAAGCAGCAGTCTAAAGACCAAAATAAAAACCACTCTTTTCCTTTTTATTGAATTTCCAAGCCTTTGAAAACAAAAATCATTCAATTCTGCACTTTTTTCAGATAACACATCTCGGCAAAAAGCGGGTCCTGGCCTCGGCTAGCATAAATATGCGCAAATACGCGAGTATCGAGTCGACACAGCAGAGCTTTACGCTCAGCCTAAAGCCGACCTCACGGAAGATTACCGCCGCCGAACTGGAATTGACAATCAGTTGTGTGTTCTTGCGTGAAGGCAAGGCGACGTAAGTGCACATACCATACACACACAATATTTATACACATACATATATAAGTTTTCATTATTTGACAATTACAGTGATGAGGATATGCAGAGCGTCGTCTCTCTGATGTCCGTCAATAATAATTCTGATGTTGCTCCACTGGACGACTTAGAGGATATACCCGATCTGGAGAGTTCGGGTGATATTTCGGATCATTTGTTTGATTTCACCCAACAGTTGGAGCAGATGACGACTAGTTTGAACGGTTGCATGGATCTGCCAACGCCATTGAGTGGTGCGTACCCGAAACTCAAAATATTAAATATCTTTTGTTTTGATCTTCATTTACTGTTTGTCCTGTGACTAAGAAACATAGTTTGTTACTATACACTATAATTGAGGTTATGTAGTTGTAGATCATTAGTGAAATTATAATAATTTGATGAACATTTTTTGAAGTACAGTAGTGCCGTTTATAATTCCAGTCATTGATAGCTACGCATATGTAAAAATATATTCGTATATATAACATACTCGTACATGAAACCCAAGTAGTACAGTATCATACCGACACAATTTATCAAATTTCGAAACATGTTAGAAAATATTCTCAGCATATTAGAAGGGGGGTGCTTAAAATCCCTCATTTCTTGTACTGAAGTGCTTTTGACCGAACACGTTGACATTAGCGAAAGTATTTTAGCTTTATTTGGCCCGATTTCGTTGCATTTTTATTTTTAAAAGAGACAAGTATTATATTTTTTGGTTCCAATAGTTCGAGCAAACTTCCTGAACGAAAATTAAATAAATTTAAATGTATTTCGATACTTCAAATGATCAGTGGTATTTTAGACAAGCGTAATATGGAGTTTCGAGAGCGATTCAGTTATTATTAATGGGAGATTTTAAATTTTCAAAATATGTGTGGATGTCGATAATTCCTTACAGGATAGTCTATTGTTTAAACATTATAATTAATTTGACTGTTTTCAAAATTAATTGAATGTACATTTTTTCTTACCCGTTTCTCTTTCTCTTTCTTAACTCGTTTCTTAAATTTATTGCAATTGTTTCGCGTTTTTCTCTCAAATCAACTTCCTCGCAAAAATCATTTGGCATTCATTCATTGCATCTGTACTTACATAACAACTAACAATTTATTAATTTATGTAAATGTGTGCAAACTAACTTTGTTTTATATAAATTTATGTTTTTTGTTGTAATTAATATACTCATTCGAAACACATTTATACCAACACACCCATACACCTGAACTACATACATAACCACGAATGTGTTAACCGTTTGTAAATGTCCGTATGTATGTGTATGCGTAGTTCCTTCCTTGTCCGAAGATCCAACTCCATTGGCTGAACATAATCGTTTGAATTTTGAATTCGAATCAGAGAAACAATTTGGATTCGACACTAGTGACGAGCTACTCAAGACGCCGAGCGCCGCTCAACCACAAGCGCAACCGCAGCCCGAACAGCATACAATAAAAAAGGAAAGTGCTGTCGCTGATCAGGAGTCCAAGAGTTCGGCACCTGCACTGACACCTGCCAAGTCTTTAGAAGCCAGCGTGCTGCCGATCAACCTAAAGAGCAAAATTATTACATCCACTCCAATCGCCACTTTCGCGAAGGGGACCGATTGCAAACCGTGCGAGCCGAGTGATACTGGCGCGCGTCGTGAACTCAACTTTCAAACTAACAAAAGTAACAACATTGACGTGTCATTTGCGCAGCAAAATGGCGACAACAAAAAAGTGGTGCCCAGCGTTGCTGCCGTTGCTGTCTGTGAGGACGCGAGACCGATGGATGCCAAACCTGAACAGAAATCAGCCAAAATTAGCAACAGCAAGTCTACAACACTCAGCTCATTACTATCTATGTCGGCTTCAACGCCGAATAAGACAGCTGATAATGAAAATATGAAGGAAAAGTCCGTTACTGCAGGCAGCGGTAGCGTGCCACCGCCAAAACCCGTGCGCAGTGAGTCCAAACGCGCCGAATTGCCACCGCTTAATTTAAAGAAGAGCTACGAGCATGACAACAACAGCAATAGCAGCATAAGCAATAATACGACTACCAGCATCAGCAATACGAACAACAATCATTTGAGCAGCATTAACAGTAATAACAGTTTACAACTGAATGGCTCTGCCAAACCGGTGGAGAAGATCGTGTTAAAAGAGAATACTCCGGGGCAGGACTTGCTGGAGTGGTGCAAGGATGTTACGAAGGACTATCCAAATGTAAAGGTGACTAATTTGACGACCAGCTGGCGCAACGGCATGGCATTCTGTGCGATCATTCACCACTTTGAACCCGACCTAATGTGAGTGTACAAGCGCTGACCATTGTACAATTTTATTTCTTCTCCCTGCTTTCCTTTTCAGCGACATGTCAAAACTCTCCGCACACGACGTTGTAGGCAATTGTCGCTCCGCCTTCGACGTCGCCGAATCGTTGGGCATTCCTCGCGTGATTGAACCGCGTGACATGAGTTTGCTGGCTGTGCCAGATAAATTGGCTGTGATGACGTATCTACATCAGCTGCGTGCGCATTTCACCGGCAAACAATTGCAAATTGAGCAAATTGGTAAAAGCTAAAAACATTCCAATTAATCGATCAGTATTTATAAGCAAAACAATCATGCTATTATTCTTCCACTCTTTATTTACTTTTTTTTAATTAATTGCTATTGTTTTCTGCACTATCACCTAAACTTGCTGACCAGGACCCACATCCGACGAGTCGAGTTATGTGATTGGCAATTACAAGTCGGACAACCTCTCGCAGAATCTACTCAATTTAAGCCACTTGAAAGCTCAACTATTGCACCAGAACTCACTAGATGACGACATATTCGGTGTAGAGACGAAAATTAGCTCGGGGCCCGCACAGCCATCGCCGACAGCGAAGAAAGATGTAAAGAACTTAATACTCTCTGGCTCGAAGAATATTTTGGGCAAGGTGCTTTCACCCAGCAAAGATAAGAACTCGATCAATGCATCGCAACATGGCCAAGTGGGTAACCAGACACCGCCTGCCGAAGGTAAGGAAAGCACCAATGCTGGCGATGCCAATGGCGACCTAAATTTGTGTGCTACGACTGTTGAGTCGAATCCGGTGCAATCCGATAAACAACAGATGGCGCCCCATTCACCCACAGCATTGGATCCTAATGCGGCGAATGTAAGTAATATGCTAATTTATTGATTATACAAGTATACAAGAACATTTACTTAGAGTTACGCTCATTTTGTTGGTTTTTATCGATTTGTTACATTTGCGTTTATTTTAGATTTAATTGACTCAATATTATTTGTACATAAGCTTATATTTCCTACGTTAGTTTATTTACTTAGTTTTAATTAATTTTGCTTTGTTTTTGCACGTTCATAATTTTGTTCGCTTACGTTTTCGCTATCATTTTTGGCTTATCGTTTTCGGTTTAACATTCATCAACCCGCCTGATCACCAACAAAAAAACCAAAAAAAAAATATGTATATAAAAATCTGCAAATGCATTAAATGTGCCACAGCGCATTTTGTCACGTCACAAGGAAATGAGCGAAAAGGCCAAGCTAATGATTGAAAAGCTGAAAGTTTCCAATGGCGTGGAGCGTGGCGAGAACGACGTAAGTAGTCCTAGAGCGCAACATAACAGTTTGCAGCGGCGCAGTTAGATGCCATCAGCTCGAGCCAGCTTATTTACTTCATATTCGTTCGCTCGTTTGATATTTAATTTAAAAAAAAAACACTCATCTTTCGTTCTGTACTTTGACATACTACTAATATATCGACCTATTTCAGGAGGAACGTAAGCAACGTTTGCGTGAGCAGGCGCGTCGCCTCATTCTCGAGACCCGAACCAAATCAGTGAACGGTGGCAGCGGTGGCGGCAACTTGGACAGCCCGACCACGCCGACCAAACTGAAACGCATGAACTTCTCACCCGAGCGCACCATTTCACCCATCCCCAATGGCATCGAGGACTATGGTATGCCAAGCACGGGCAGCAATTCACCAACCAAGTTGCCGATGTCGCCGTCGAAGAAGATTACGCCGCCGCGCGATGTGGATACGCTTTCGACAACCACAAATAGTAATAGTAAACTGATGAGTCCTAGTCATAGATTAAGCGAACGCTTCAGCAATGGCACAAACAACAGCGGTAGTAATAGTCCTCTGCAGTCGTTCAATGCCGTCATGGAGCGCATTTCACCAAAGAACGACAAGAAGGTATGTGTGATCGGTAAGAGTTCAAATATTGAGTACTATTTTAAGAATACGTTGTTCATTCTGCAGGGCGACAAACGCTCCTACATCGAATCGGAACTGGAGGCACTCGAGCGCGAACAGGAGGCCATCGATCAGAAGGCCAGCTGTCTAGAGAAGAAACTACGCGCTGTCATGGGCGGTAATCCAAGTAATAATCGTTCACAACGTAACCCTTTTATTAGATTAATACGCAATAGTATTGGTGGTGGTGATAGTATACGTATTAAATTGCTTGACATGGATAGCGATGGCCAGTTTTCATTATCGCCTTCGGGCGAAGACACTTCGCCGTGCACATCATCGGGCTCCGTGACACCCTCATCCTTGTCCAGCGATGAGGAGACGTCAGTACGCGCAGCTGATGTGCGTTCGGCATTAGCGGTGAACGGTGCTGATGTTGAGAATGTAGTGCGTCGGCGACGCAAACGGCGACATCAACACCGCCATCGCGCGCCTACGACGGAGCATGCTAATCAACATCAGCAACGAACGCCACACAGCCGTCCACGCTCACAATCATGTATTGTCGATGCGAATGAGAATCATAGAAATCATGCGCATCCGCAACAGTCGCACAATAGATTTATAAGTAACCGAAATTTCGCAAACGCTTTTGCGCCGTTCAATTTTATATTCTCCTCCTCCAATACGAACACAACTACAACCAGAGCTTCCTCAAATCATTCCTCCTGTGATAATCTGCCAAAGGTGCACTTACACTTGCCATGTGATGCTGAGGGCGACATTGACGATGAACCGCGGCGAATCCGTTGCCGAACCGAGGAGCCGCCTAGCGGCCGAAGACGATCACGAAGCCGCTGCCAGTGCCATTGTCGCACTGGTGGCGACTGCGGTGGTGGTAAACAATAATTTTTGCATTACGCCTAACGTCTTAACGCCTGTAGTTACTCTTACAAACACAGTTACAATTATAATTACTGCTTAACCACTACTACAAGCGGCAAAATATATTGCAACAAAAAGGACTCTTTGAAAGCAAGACCGCACATAAATGTAAAATTGCCACAGGCATGCGTGCTACGCTTACTCGCTTACAAAAAATACACTTTTAACGCGCTGGAGCGCTCTTTCATTTAAGTACATTAATGGGCTGCTATTTGCTGCAACGCTGCGGATGTTGTGCTGACATTTAACTGTTTGGAAGTTCACCGCGATCACTGTCCATATTTCACCATTTGACTCGCTTAGCTTCAATGCTTAACCACGCAAACGCGAGTTGTAACGCAAACGCTGCTAGGCAAAGCAAATTTGAATAAACGCTACTTGCTTACTTTTGCCGCTGTTGCGCTTCTGCAAGCTGTAATTAACACACTGTTGGCGTCCATTTACTTTTGCATAAAACGCATTAATCGCTTGTGCGAGCGGTTGCAGCGCTGCCGATGCTCTAACATTTTAATCGTAACTCTCATGCTCGTATTTTAACTGTTTTTAACACAATTCATAACTTCGTAAAATTCGTACAATTATTAGACCTAGCAAAGCTTGTTGGTTTGTGGCATGCCGCGCAACTTGTGTGCAGACAAATTTAAATTTATCCAAAGACTTAAATTGGCCAAAATAATCAAAATAAAATGAACTGCTGCACACCAGTGCGCGCGCCAGCTAAATTATAACACATAGCTATATTTGATTCTTGATGCGCTACTCACCACATACTAAACTCACCTCTTGGATTCAGATTTTTACGATGTAAAAATTGCGAAAACCCGATTAACGCAATCTGAATCACATAAATCGTTTAAATCTGAGTCCTTTTTGTAAATTTTTTCAATAGCTCCGTTGCATTAGTCCAGTAATATATATATATTAGCATAAATTTGATTTCTTTTTGTAGTTGTTTAAATGTTGACTCAAAATCTTATGCTTATGATTCAGTTATGTATTTGCCGTGCTAATCTAGTGGCCATTTATTAAAGTTTCTTCTTAACTTCTCGCGCAGAAACCGATGAGACGGAGGAGCAACTGTTGTCGCAGTGGTTTACGCTGGTTAACAAGAAAAACGCTCTGCTGCGCCGCCAAATGCAGCTCAATATACTGTAAGTGTTTGCGAATAAGGTTGGAAAGTAGTAATTCAGCGGTCGCAAGACCATAGTTTATGTAGTGTTAGGCGAAGTTTTCTAGAGAAGCTCCTGTATTTCTCCTTTTTTTTCGCAGTGAGCAAGAAAGTGATTTGGAGCGCAAATACACGCTTCTAAATCAGGAGCTGCGCGCCGCGCAGTCCGTGGAAGATTGGCGAAAAACGGAAGCACAGCGTGAAAAGGAGCGACTGCTGCTCGAGGAGCTGGTTGCTATTGTGGACAAACGTGATGAGCTGGTGCAACATTTGCATAGTCAGGAAATTGCGTAAGTTAACGATAATAATAACGTTGTGTATAAGCGAATTTCCAGCGTTGTGTTCTTTGACATTTCAACATTTCAGTATCGAGGACGACCACGAGATCGCGCGCGAGTTGGAGCAAGTGGACATCAGCGGGGACAAGGACAAATGCGTCATACAATAAAAGCACATCGGCATGCTACGTCCACTGCTGCTGCACCGAGTCGAGAGTATTGTATGGCAGAGCTGGTGCGAACAATGACGCAACGACACAGAAAAAGTGAAATTAAATGTAGTTAGTGTTTGATAATTTTGGAATACGATCAATATGCAACTGACGTATGCGTTTTCTACAACAGCGACCATTAAGTAAACATTCGCTTTACCTATAACCAATTGCAATATGTATTTACTTACATATGTCGTTTGTATGAAGTAAAAGAAGTAAACTATTTTAATTGCTAAATTAAAGTAGCGGTGTGAACGCTTTTGTGCAAAACATAATTGAATAGCTTAAATATGGGGCATAGACAAACTTAATTGCCAGCAATTGCAAATATTCAGCGCTAAATTATATTCATTTGTATGGATGAATGTGTGACCTCCGAAGCACAACTTCCTGTGCATACCTTCGCTTGCAGGAAACAAAATATTCAACGACGACAATTACGAAATACGGATTTGATCAGTGTAATATTCTGTCGAAAAGTAGAAGAAAATTAACTAAATATTTAACTCGAGTTGCATAAAGACAAAATACGAGGCCAGCCTAGAACACAGAAACGATTCTAGAACATGTGGCGTTGTAATCTAAACAATTCCCGCTTTTCAGCGCTGTTTTTTTTTATCGCTGGCGAATATTTCATTCAGAGAGTAATGTCCGTCAAAAACGAAACTTTTACTTTGAGCAAATAATTTCTATGTAGAATGTGTAAAATGTATAATGTTAAATGCAACTCAAACACAAATTTGAAAAACGTCCGTTAGTTTTGTAAGCAACAACTGAAACAAAAAAAATTAAACAAATGAAAAATATCGAATAGTGCATATAAACCGTAAACCGTTAACTATCCTTTTTACACAGCTTTCGTTTGACAAGCGCTTATTGTGCCATTTTTCTGTTCAACTCACTTATTTTAACAGTTTAACGATACTCATTTTCACACCGATATTTTCATTTGCAATGCCTTTATTTAAACACTACAACATTTCACACCTGATGTTTTGGATTGAAAGCCTCGTTTGGGTGGCGAACTTAATTGCTTCAACTTAAATTAGCTTTATCAATTGCTTTAGTTGAGATATGTGTGTATGTGTGTGTTTTCCGAACGCACCATTGTAAACTATTTTTAATATTTTTAAGTTGTAATTATGTTTTAAATAATGAAAAAATAATGAAATTAGTTTATAATTTGACTAGTGTGATCCTAACTGTAAACTGTACCTACCTATTTATAATTAAACATGAGAAATAAAATGTAGTTTATATGTATTTGTATATTTAGTTTTGTTGAAACACTTTTAGTTTATTTTTAATATAATTTTATTACTGCGTTGAGTTTTTTATCTTAAACAAATGGTGACTACTCAGTTTTACTACTCTCCCCCATCGCCGCCAGTTTGCTTTTACCGAGTTTCTTTGGTTTTCATAAGAAACTGCCGCGAAAGGCTGTCTTGGCGTTGAATCTTAACATGGGTACTTAGGAAATTAACATTTATATAATAATATTGAACTAGAAACGACCCTACGAGCAGAAATTGTATTACATGTAAGTCAGATATATATAATTAATATAAAAATACAAACATAAATATATGAATGATTTAAATGTAACATAATCAACTAAAGAATATATGTATATGAATAAATATGAATGAAATGAATATGGAAAACCGCATTTGTTGTTTATAAATATGAACTAAAGTTATGCGGTAATATGCAGTTCAGCAAAGTTAAGATGAACGGAGTAATTTATTTATTGTCGTTGTTGTTGTCGTAGCGGCAGAAAACATTCATGTAGTAATTTCAAGGAATGGTGCCGAGTTGATAGTCCTTGGCCGGTTAAAAAACCGGGTCCGTCCCGGTTATCGACTGTCGAGGGCAATTTATGAGTCCTTTGGTGTGGTGTTTAGGGCAGAGCATAATTTGTAGGATAAATACATTCTATTTTATCATTTAAACCAGGATATGTACAAAAACCGAAGTCTATTCGCAGGCGCTACTTAACAATTAAAAAGGAAAGTGTAATGATAACGAAACCTCTATTAAAACAAAAAGTGAATACTATAAATATTTATCATTTATTTATTATATATTCATTCGTTTTTAAAACTAAAGAAATGATATAAAAACTTAAAAATTATTATTCTCGTTATTTACATTATATAATAGCTACATTTAGTTAACTATTTTGTTACAATCGGAATTCGCACTTCACAATTTCTTAAGTGGTATGTATTGTATATTAATTGATATATACGTATTTATTTAGGAAAAACTTAAATTCTCTATTCTACAGATATGGGTGAAGATATGTATGTGTAAGCACACGATTTTCTATTATGTACTTAGATTATACAATATATATTGATATGTATACGGTTTAGCAATTTAAGCTTTTTAAGTGCACCTTTCAGAGAGATTTCCGCATCTCGTTGGTTAATGAAGTGAAATGTGGTCATTTTATGTATTTAAATTGTGAACTGATGCCTGCGTGTCATATGGAAAATACTACTTATTCTGTGTATTTCTTTCAACAGCAAATATAAATAACTTTATTCCTCGGTGCTGAGCTCTTGAGTGTCAAACTGTATGAATTCAATTATTAAGGCACTAATTTTCAAGATTTTGTATATTGTCACTTCTCTCTCTCGCTTTTGTAAAGAACTCTGTGCAGCTATTACTTGATATCTGTAGTCTTTGTGCGTTACAATTTTTCACCAACGGAAGTTTTTTTCGGAAGATTTTATCTTTGCTAGCATTTCTTAGCGTTTTGGAAGTTTTTTGGAAGTCTTTAGTATCATTAAAACGCAAACTAAAATCTATGTTCCTCAAAATTACTACTTCATGTCCATTTCAAAGTATTTTCTGCTTCAATTTAGTTTTAAATATCAAACTAAAGTGTCTTTAAGCTGCGCTCTCGGTCGTGGCCGTCGCCGCCGTAGTATGAACACCGGCATTAGTTGCCCCTCGCGCCGCTGTTGCTGCAGCTGCGGCTGCTGCCTCTGCTTGGCGACGCTCCTCCTCCATTTCCAGACGCTCAACCTTCTTGATTTTATTTAGTTTTCCTACGTGGATGCGCAAACATGCACACATGTATAATTAATAAAAATGATTTGTGTTACAAGTATTTTGCAGTACTCACTTGCACATTTCAGCATGATCGTGCCCCACCAGATGGACCAGCCCCAACCGACAAAACAGAAGAGGACACAAAACAGTTGCGCCACGGAAACGATTATGTTGATTATGAAAGAACCGAAACGCGCCTTCGCGCTGTCGTATTGCGAAAAGCGTGGGATTCCAACGCAAAGGCAAAAAATGCCCGAGAATAAGGTGCCTGTAAGAGAAACGAGAGAAGAGGAGTGTATTAAATAATCGTAAGTGCATACTCTCGTTTCGATTCACTTTACCTAGTCCTGGAAAGATGGTGTTACAAATTGCGCAAAACCAGGCTAAAGAGAGCGGCAATACTGGAATAGCGCCTTTCATTTTCGAGCTATACTCTACTAGGTCCACATGTAGCTTGCGTCGAGTGTCCTGTAAAAATTTTATATTTCAAAATAATTTCGTTAATATCAAAGGAGAACAAATTCACCTCACTCGGCGGTGGTGGAGCCTTCATGCTTGCCCGCCGACTCTCACTTGGCTTCGGCAACTTTTTGCGTCGACAACACAGCAGTTTGCTCCAAAAGCGTTTGCAACAACCCCTGAAAGAAGAATAATTGCTGTAAACAACACACAATTTGTTGGCTAAATCACTGACTGTGGTCGCTCTATTTCTGGCGAAATGGCACCTTCCAAAACAGATGCATCACTAGCTGCAATACCACTTTCCGGATCTTGCCAGGCCACCGAGCCAGTCCGTGAAACTGTCGAGGCGATAGTAGCGCCACGTCCAGCTTTCTTGCGTCGACAAGGTATACAAAAACAACACTTCTTCAATTCCGTCTCATCACCAGTTGTGGGATCGACCTTGTTGACACGTCGACAACAAAATAATTTACTCAAGCAGGATCCACACCCGCCCTGCTTGGGTGCAGCAGGTGTTGTTGCTGCCATCGCAGATTCCGTTTTGGTCGCCACTGTCATTTTTGCGCTCTCATTCGTGTGGCTGGCAGCCACCTTCGGCTGCTTGCGACAACGTTTGCAGCAGTTCAATTTTTGCCAACAGCTCGTTTTGGTTTTTTCGTGATCCGATGGATGTCGCGCTTCATCGATGACCTCGAGGTTGGTGGTGGAGACGCTGCTGGTCGCAGAAAGTACTGGCTCCTCGCTTTCATCGCCGACCAGACTCTTTTTGCGACGACAGCAACGCGAGCAGCGTAGGCGCCGACATGGAAGACAAAACTTCGTGCAGCAACGGCAACAACCAGTCGGTGTCCCTAAGTGGCCTTCTTGCTCTTTCAGAAACTCTCGGCTGCCGTTGCTGAAAATAGAGAATACCAATGAAAAAAAACAATAAGAGTAGAGTGCATTAGCTTGCAACAAAAATATATTCCAAGATGTGTCCAATCCGAAAACATGAAGATCCTTTGAATAAAGTAATATTAATTGGCAATTGGAACAATGAAATTTGCGAAGTCAGTATATAATAGATTGACTACAAGCAGAACAACAATGCAGATGTCTTTAATACGTATACATGGAAACATACACGCCAACCTGCACGGCGCGCGGCATTGGCGTAGACAACAACGGTAACATACAAGAAAACTTCGACGTGCCTATAAATGATTATCGCGACAGGTGCGGTTAATGAACGACTTCCGCTGCTGCCAATCGACCCACAAGATATGCATTTCACGTGGCAGTGACCTAAGAGAGTGCGGCAAAAGAAAGGTGCAGCAATAGTGCTTCTTAGTGGCAACACGGCATTGCCGTTTCGAGGATGGTGAGTGCGGCATTTATTCATTGCAGACAGCAGTTGGTAGTCTCGTCAAAATGCATATGTAAATTAGGGTCATGAGGTCTCCAATCTCATATATGTATGCATCTGTAAATATGTATGATACATATGAGCGTTTGCCATACACACACACACACGCATACAGGTACTCAAGCCAATTCAGGCAATGTGAGGGCCATATTGGCGACTCATAAAATGTTTGTAATGTACATCCGCTTCCGCTGCAGTGCTGTAAGTGCTGACATTTCCTTCAATATAATTACAATGTCCATTTGAGTGACCTTATAGATGAAATACCAATACATATACAAATGAATAGGCTGGCATTTACTCAAACGTACATATGCACGTGTGTGTAAAATAAAGAAGTTGGCAATAAACCAACAAAAGTTTTGCTGCTACCCTTCGAATGGAGTAATCATACATATATGTACTTGTACTACATATGTAAGCAAAATATTTTTAAATATTCCAAAGCAATAGTCTGCATTCCTTAAAAATATAAGTTATATTCACTTCAGATATTCCTTGATATTGCTTATGCTTGTAGAGTAAACTTTCTGGCATTTTGTTGAGCCCATATGTTACGATACGTTATTTTCCTTACAAGTTTGCCTTATTTTGCATATGCTACATATGTATATACAATATAATACATTGTTCTTCATTGCTAACAATGAAAAACTCTCTAATTTCTGAATTTGCGACGAAAAAGTTTAGACTTCTTTCCCCTATTGATTCATCTACTACATTTTACAAATTCACCGTTAGATTTTTCTTTTAGGCAAAATGCAAGTAACTAATTCGTGCCGTTGTTCAAAAAACAAGCAAACACTGCGTATGAGTAATATTTTATGTTTTCATTTGAAAGCAACAATTTATTGTTAGTAGCCGATCATATTATACATATAAAAACTGTAGAGACATATTGCAACTAATCACGAAGCAAACGTGGCCGGTTTTAGGACATTTTATGCTCATACTGAAACCGAATAGTAGTCAGTCGTTAGTCAGTCAAGTACTAGAAGTTGAAGCAGATGGTAGCTATAATTAATTCTTATAATTTTATTTGAGTGAACCAAACTATTATTACAGACTATTATATTTTTTCAACATTATTCACATTTATAAAGCGCTTGCAATACTTTATAGCTTGCAATAATATTTATTTTCGCCTGCACATATCCAAAACAGCTCAACCATTACAATAAGTATAGCAGTTTTATCACACTACACACCAACAACACTTGAGATCCTTCACCCACACTCACAATTGCTTTATTCTTTATCAGAATCACGAACTTGTTGGGCAAAACTGAGCACTTTTCTTAAATTCGAGCGGATATGGATGCACAGCACGCACTTTTCGTTAGCGGGTGAAGGCCATTTGCGGTTAAAGGTCTTAAGGCAGCGTTTCAGTTACGTCAGTGGATTGCCGCAAAATGCGTTTCAAATACAAACTAACTAACTTAACGAATTAGAATTTCAAACTTCTTTATTTTTGCCTTCACACGCATTTTCTAACAACACAAAAAGCGAGCGTTGAAAATGTGTGCGACCACCGCCCGAGCCAACGTCCAAATACGCTTTGGCTGAACCCAAAAATCAGCTCACCAAAAGTAAGCCGAAAATTATGCTTAGGCAAGCGCTGCCAAGCGAAACAACGACATGCGAACGTGCGAAAAGTTACTGAAATGGTGGAATTTAAAAAGTATTGACAAGGTCAATAGCAGCACGTCGCAACGGGACCTGAACAGACAGGCACATACACGCATACTTTTCAGGCACTTACTGTGTTTTTGGTGCGACACTTAAATCGTATGGGAAATTATTTCCCACAAGCATTGACGGAAAAGCCAGTCATGGCCGGTTAACTGCCTTTTAATTGCGAAACTTGGTAATTGTATACAACGAACGGAGACATGATTTTAAGGGTATGTAACTAGATGATGTTACCTACATCTGACTATGGTGCAGTTCACAGCACAGAATGGGCTGTTTAAGTTTTATTAATAATAAGTTGAATAAATTCACATCGATTTTAAAAAAGGAAAACATTAAAATGTCTAGCTAGTTTGTTTGAGTTGTCGACTTTTTCGTATGTAAGTTTTGATAACTTTTCATATAAAAGTTTAAGTATGAAAGAAAATGATATAGTTTGTATATTTCACAGAAACATACCGATAATTAACGCTTTTATATACACAACCGCTGTTTAATATTGCGTTTATATTTTACTAGCAACGTTTCTCTAAAGTAATCTATATAGTTTTCCTGAACGAAAATATTAAAAAAAAAATTACTTTGCGAAGCCTAACATTTTTATTTTTTTTTATCGAATTTATTTCCCATTATTTTTAATTATTCGGTTACATAGTAACGTTAACTAAAACGCATTCACTCTAGCCAGTGCATTCTCATGCAATTTTCAGAAGGATTTCGGAAATACCTTCACAATCTATTAAATGTCATTAAATTGTGCGCTTATTAAATGAATACCTGAAGAAGTATTTCTCAACGTCGGCAAAGTCCTGCGGCAAGTCAATGTGGTAGATTGCCGAATTCTTGCGTTTTCCCTTTTTCTGAATCATCGTACGGCAATTGGGCTCTTGTAATTGGTGTAGGCTTTTTGGGTTTTCCAACCAAAATCACGATTTCACTTAGCACGAAACTGTGTCTGCAAACACTTTCGAACGCGATTACGTTAATTATTTGAGGTTAGCACTCACAGCTTACTGGTTTCTATTGTTCCGTGAATAATGGACGAGTTCGGTATACTGATTGAATTTTCGGATTAGGAATTTCTGAAAACTTTCACTCGAGCATTCTGCGCGCGCCTTCACAGCTAGGAATGCAGTGATGAATTGAATTCTAAAATGCAGTTGGCGCAATGTAATTTCATGCCACAAGCACAAGCGGTCTCGTGGTCCTTAGCTGTGAGCGTGTGTTTGTATGTGTGTGTGTTTGGTTGAACGGTAGTTGTGTGGTGTGACGTGTCGCGTTCGCCGCGATTGTCCAGCCTAAACTAATTTCATAGCTCGGGCGACTGAGCTTACGGAGCTCCACAAGAAACTTCCAAATCAATTCAACTTAATTCGCAATAGCTTCCCCACGGCTCCCCCTCCTCCCTGCTGCTTGTCGCTCACACATTTTGTGTTACAATACGACACCAATAGCATGTATTTACTCAGCTACATACATTTACATATCGTCAAGAGTACTACTTAATTATTGCTGTTGTTGTTTTTCTTATATTTGTAGCGCCAATGTTCGGCGCTGAATAAACACGAAGGACGAAATGGCATGCCGTGGAACGGATATCCTTAGCGAAGTACCGGCTTCAGCGTACTAGCAGTCCAAAGGGAGGGAGGCCAGGCGGTTGCTTTCGAATGGACTGCTGATTGAGGAACCCGTCGATTCTGTTCTTTTTTGGTAGCAACTTTGCGTTTCGGCCCTGGCCGTTGGTGCCGCTTTGCACTACGTGCGAGTTGGGCAAGAGACCAACCTGTCATGATTGCAATTACATATATGATATACATACATACTTATTAACTAGTTATGAGTGGCCACACTACAATCCACAGTAGAGAAGTTCGCAAACGTGACAAGGTATACACATATTTCTATAAATATGTTGCATGCAACGTTGGCTGCATTATTTGCACCAAGTGCTGGTTACCGTTATGTGTAAATACTTAGTATATATTAAAAAAGAGCAAAGTAGTTGCTATGAAAGCGAGAGGAATATGAGTTACAGTTTAAAAACGCTAGAAAATAATTACTTGTGCACAGGTACACACGTACACACACACACACATATGATTTCAAGCTGTTATATGTGTAAGCTCATTATATTGATAATTAAGTATCTGAAAATATACAGTAAACTACTGTAAGGTAGAAAGTAGTGCTAAAATAAACTCACTAATCAACGCTGGTTCTTATTATTTTGCTTGAAAAATTCGGCTGCTTTTCAATACAACAGATCTACCATTTCCATGTTCGTACTAGGCAATAGAATTAAAGAGCCCAATGGATGCAATTATCAATTAAGCGATGCTCACTGTCCCAACTAATCTTTTTTTTTCTACCACAAAGTATAACGCGGTCATTTTGTCAGAACAAAGTTCAAGAATTCCAATTTTCATAATGCCCACTGGGCCACTTCATATGCAAATTCCATTACACGTTTTCATAATTCTCGACACAAGACTGACGCGCCTTTTGTGTGCTCGTCATAGTACAAGAAGAATACTCAAGCCTACATATAAATATTGTATCCTTCGGCATTTATATTCCCACTACACGACAACAACACTTGAAAGCGCTGTGGTAAGCAATAAAAGCCGCTTATCGCCAACTAAATGTTACAATAATAAACGTGAATATATTTCACATGTAAGTGTGCATAAATACTTGTATGACAGCGTCGGGGGGAATAATCGGCAGGAGTTGAATGAAAAAGGTTGGTGCATATGCTACAGAGACAAAATATTATATATGTAGGTGTGTTTGTGTAAGTGTTGTGGTTCGGCCAGTCGTACTGCAGCCCCGAGCGAATATCTAATAAATTATTTATGAAAATTTGAAGTGATTTGGAATTTCTGCAAATTACACCATCCGTGACCTTTCAACTGCCGTCTAACCGAAGGTGTCGTGGCAGACACTGATGGTCACGGATAACAGTTTTATTGCCGACGATATTGCAGGTGTCAAGGTGTCGGCGACGGGACTTGTGAAAGGAAACGCCATTCATTATGAGCATGATGGACATGGTAGTGTTGTGTGCCTCGTTGTTGCGTAGCAAGCGTATGTGTGAAGCCTTGGCAAATGTCTTACAACTGCTCGTTTGGATCCTATGCGTTTAGTGGGAGGTTGTCACCACCTTGAATAAGTGATTGTAATAAAGCGTCTTCCCATCTTGATATCGACTAAATCGTTTAAGCTTGTATTTATATAGCCTATAACAATAACAATTAAAAATCATCTATACTGATAATGAATATTTGCGTTAAAAGGGTATAAAAGTTAAGTTTAGTCTCCATAGACTCTTATTATCAAATTGTTCAGTAAAATCGGTGGTGTCTTGACATTATGTACACATATATTGGCTTGATTTGAACTTGAATTCATATATTTAATATTATACGACTCTGGTTTTTTGAGTTTTGTATGGTACATGTCTCGAAATGTAAGGGGCAAGCATTTTCAGCGTAAAAGTAAGTGCGTGCCACAAACTAATTTCTCTGCAAGCATCTTTTAAAGTGCACACACACACACACATACACACAATACATAATGAGTATTTATAAAATGTGTTATAGGCTAATTATGGAAATTGCCGATGCAGTTTTGAAATAAAAAAATGCATGCAATTTTGCAATTAATTTCGTTTGTCGTCTTGTTTGTATGGCTCAATGTACCATATATTGTTAGTAGGTTGCAGCAACGCGTTACATGTGTCGCGGTACTGCGGTCCATATTTAGCCGCATATGATGAATCGTGCAATACCATAAAACTATATGTACATATGTCAGTGTAAATATAAAGGGAGTCTTTTTGGTGTATGTTGAATTCGATTGATTCAAGTATGGTAGGGATTTTGATAGTGGACACCTGCATCTTTCGTTCATATGTGTGATATACAAGTTTGGGATATTCATATCACATATTGATTCTTAGCTTTTTCTAAAGTCACATGTATACATACATATACATGTATATGCCACATGTGGCATTCAAATGCAGGCCACATATGACAGTGAAGTTAATAAAACTGGCTTAGCGGCGAATACCAAAAAGCGACATGCCACCGCCGCCATTTGTATTGCACGCGATTTGAACACGAGCATACATTTGCATGAACATACATATGTATGCACGTGACACATCTTCATGAAAGTAGTAAATCACTTGCTAATTGGCTTCGTAATGCCTTGTTGACGGTTGCGAATTTTATAAATCAACCTTACATGGCCCAACCCATTTCTTTGGAGTGAAAAATTTTGATATTTTACTTACCCACTGCCCGCCGCTGAGCCGCCCTGTCCATCAGGCGAGCGCCGTTTTATATCGTCGTCAGTAACACCATCTCCTTTGGCACCATCGCGGCCAACTCCATTTCGTTCGTTTCCACTCGCATCAGCGGCATTCGCACGACCTTCATCATCCAACATTGCTCCATCAACTGTTTTGTCCGCTGCACCGTCCCCATTGTATGTGTAATTCTGGAAATTTGCATCGTCACAGTCAACTTCTGGCATAACTGATACTGATAAAGCACGTTCACTAACCCGTTCGACGGTGGCGTCTACGACGCCCGTATGTGGCATCGCCATTGCGCCCGTTGTGGCAGCTGCTGCGGCTGCTGCAGCCACAGTGGCATGCTCTGTGGCGTGCATGGACGAGTTCAATACTGAAACATCTGCCTCGATCGGCTGTGTTGGGGGTAGAGGAGATTTTTGTGTGGGGGTCGCAGCCTTAACACCGCTACTACCATTTTTGTGCGGCATTTTTTTTGTGCCCGCTGTTGGGGTTGATCCCTCAGCGGTCACCGTGCGTGCGATCGAGTCTCCGGCCAACCCACTCTCGTTACCACTAGCAGTCCCAGCTTTACCACCGATTTTGTTTTCCACAACGGTAGCCACACTCGATGTGGGTGATCCTGCGCTATCTGAAAACCGACCCATATCACTTTCGAGACTTTTCAGATCGGTGAGATTTTCATGAATGGTTTTATTAATTTCATCTGTCGCCACTGTAACAGTCTTTTGAATATTCTCCAGAGTCTTCTGGGATTTCTCTAATATGGCTGCAGGTAGACCAGCCATATCTTCAGGCGTCTTCAATTGTGTACGACTGTTGCTTTTTTGTAAATATCCTGGTTTTCCTAAGAAATAATTTAGAGAGTTAGTTAGTTTAAATTAATGGGAACGAATGATACATTTCTCACTAACCGGTTTTTTTCAACCCATCAGTTGTCTCCTCAGCAACCGCCGGGACCGTTGCCTTCTTGCTAAGGTTGCTGTCGGAGCGCTTCATGCTGAGCAGACTCATTCGGGAAGCCATGCGTACAAGTGATGCATTGGAAGGATGCTTTTTGATACCTGAGGTGGAACCGCTGCTTCCCGTGCTACCAGAACTAATGTTCGGTGCGCCTTTTGTAGAAGTAGCAGCGACAGCAGCTACCCCTACAGGTATTGCAGCTATTTTGGTTGTTTCGATTCCCACAGGGCTAACACTTTTCAGATTACTAGCATCTTCTTTGCTCGAAGAAGCCTTTTTTTCTTCTTGCTTTGTCATTTCGGCGTTATTGTCACCATTATTACCCTTCGTCGTTTCCGCTTTCTTCTCGTTTCCTTTTCCTTTAGTTGTTACTGTGTTGCTCTTGGTAGTAAACTTCATTGAATTTTTTGTTGTAGCATGGCGTTTTAGTCCACTTGCCGTCAAAGCCACAGCAGCTGCAGAAGAATTAACAGCCGCTTTCTTTGTGGTTATTGTTGTAGCCGTGCCTTCGCGTCGTATATTTTTTCCTGTACCAGTTTTTGGAGTTTCTTTCTTTCGTACATTAGAAGGTTCTCGTATAAGGTTCACCCTTCCGGGTTTTTGAAGATTACTTGGTTGCTTTTTAATAGATGCCTCCAGTTTGCCCACGGACGATGGTTTGCGCTTCACATTGGACTCCGGTTTATGTATCGAAGTAGGTACTTTTTTGGCACTTTTTGGGTTTTTTCGTTGATTTGACGGAGTTTGCGCTGGCGTTGTTCGACGTACCATTTTTGAACCCTTTGATTTCGAGGGTGAACGGCTGCCTAGCTCTTTCGGCACCACTGACGGTGTTTGCTTTGCTTTTGTTACACTACTATCCCTTAATGGTATACGAGATCGCGAACTATGCCTCGACTCAGATCGCTCCCTAATTTTCTTCCCTCTCCCACGGCTTCCTGATCTCTTTTTGTGAGGTGGACTGAGTGACTGTCGCCGTGTACGTACTTTTCTGTTTGAAACTGGACTGACAGATATGGATGTTCGCCGCCGAGTGGTTACTGGTGAAGGTTCAGTACTTCTTTTTCCAGAATTAGGGGAAACGTTACCAGTGATTGAAGCTGTTGAAAGTATGCTCATTCTTGAGTTAGATCGGGAGTTTGCTATTTCTTTTGCCATTTCCATTCGCGAATTCGGTCGTGTACTAGCGCGTGACGCTGCTCGTGATATTGGATGGGTAGATGCACGAGAAGTAGAACGTGATGCCGGTCTGGAATTGCTACGCGAAACTGATTGAGAAGCATCGGTCCTTACTGTTGCACGAGAAGTAGTGCGACTAGATGTTCCTCTTGAATTTATATCAGATATTGGCAATTGAGACATAAACTCTTTCAATGGCGATGAAGAACGCGAAATTGGACGCGAGTTCGAAGAGCGCAAAGGTATCTTTGAAAGTGAATCCCGCCGAGATGTCATATCCGAAAATGCCTCTGACGGTGCTAATGAACCAGCAATATTTTGTTCAGGACTTTGAGGTGTGCTACTATCTTTGTTCGGTGTACCAATGATGGGTGAAAGCGTAGAAGGCTTAGCAACTTTTGTACGGGATGTTCGGCCACCAGACAAGCTTGCTGGTTGTATTAGAGATTGTCGACGTTTAGTTTTGGGGCTTGTAGATGGAAATGAGGATTTTCTACGCTGCTGATGTAGCGGCAAGGGCGAACGACGAAAACTAAAATCGGATGTTGTAACTGAACTTATATTGGAACTCCGCCGATCTGAAGCTGTTTGTGTCGAACTACGGCGTTCAGGCGATGTAGAGCTTGAGCGTCGACGACTCTGTGAAATGTGTGTAGGTGTTGCAAGAGGAGTTTTTAGCTGCCTACCAAGAGGTAGGTCCTCCATACTAGCCCAGTTTGAACGCAATGGTAAATGCGAAGTGTTTCCATTTAGTATGCGGAGCAGACCTTTTTGCTTCCGAGTGGGGTTGGGGTTGGGTTTAATGGGGCGAGGCAACGCACCTGGTGGAAATACTGCTGGCTCTATATGTAGATCTGTAACGGAGCGGTTGAAGCGTGGAATAGCAGTACGGTATGGATCGGTTATAAAAGGTAGAGTTTCACAACTTTTTATTTTTGATTCATTTGCTTGTTTGGCAAATGTTGGCAGTGTTGAAGGGCGACGCAATTTTGATTTGCGTCCCGCTGAAGGGGATGATGGTGTAATATCTTGCGATGATGACAGTGACTCACGATGTTGCAATATGCCCCGTTGAGTCATCATGTTTGGCGTATGCCGACCAGTCATATTAAATTGTACAGAAGGGCGAGGAGAGTCATCGGCGGGAGCTTGAAGTTTCTGTTGTGGCAACTGTGGCAACTTGAGTTGAGAGGCTGATAAGGATTTATGTTGCAAATACTGTCGTGGTTTAGCAACAGGTTTCATTGGCGATATGGCGGACATTTTTTGCGGTGACCGCTGCTTTTGACTGTGCGATGACGGACTATGGGTGCATGATGATTGTGGTGATTTTTCTGAAATAATTGTAAATGATGTCTTCTTGTGAAGGCGTGTCTGCTCAACCCTGCAAAAAGCAAAATTAAAATTATAAATGTTTTCCGTCTAGTTTTCTTTCTAATTATTATTATTTTTAATACCTAAATTCCCCACCAGTGGCTATTGAATTCCGCAATATCACGGGTGACATTTCGCGTTTTATGGAATTCTGACTTTCGCTTGGCATTGCAGTTAGTAGATCTGGCGGTGGTGGAGCAGCTGGAGGAGGTGATGTCACTTGAGTCGAACTAACTATAGGACTTTCGTCCTCGTATTGCAAATACTCTTGAGGAGAGAGCAATAATTCCGTTTCAATTTCACGGAGAAGAGTTGGAGACGGGTCGGGTGGTCTTGCTGGTGGTTGGAAACTAGTCAAAGGTACCGTTGACTTGTCTAAAGTATGTGTTCTATCCATCATTCGTTCCTCTCCACTACTAGAACCGTTCGAGTCATTTATCATTGCTGCAACCGGAGACTGGTGCATTGGCATGTCTTCCCTTTTAATCGACATAACGTTTTTAGAACTTGGACGCAGTCTTGGTATCTTACTGAATTCAGGGTAGTCTTGAGTTGCTGGCCGAAACCATTCGTTGTTTGTATAAGGTTCGTTCGGAAATTGATGAGGAAACGGTTGGCTTACTGAAGGAGGTGAATTTTCCATATGTGGCTTTTCAACGTTGCTATAAGAGAAAATGTATGTAAAAAGTTTTCAATAACATTCCAAAATTTTATATTATATATTGTTTACCTCAGTGCTCCAACATTCGATTTGAAATCTTCACTAAAATTAGATACGCGCCGTGTGGCTTCTGAGTAGTCGAGGACACCTTTTGCATCTCTGACTTCATAAGACTCTACAATTTCGGTTACATCTGTCGGTTGCCTGTCATCATATATTGTATGATGGCGATTTGTTGTGTCGGGTGCGAGTAATGTGTAATTGGGCGATTCCCGTGCTTCAGAGCTTGAATCACCACTGGAATTAGGTAATATTTGAATATCTGGTGGTTGAAGACGCGGCATGGGAGTGGGAAGCACATCGAAGTTTCTGGGAGCTGCATTGTCAGACATTCGCCTACTAAATGCGGAGCTGAAAGGCACATTAGAAAAAAGGCGTGTCTGTGCGGGCCTTTCAACTTCTAACGAAGCTAGACGGTCAGTAGTGTCTTCTTCAGAGCCAGAACTGATTTCCAATGACACTGGATGGAAAACACTCACAGGATTAAATTGTGAAGTATGAAAATCGGGCGGGGGTGGCGGTGGAACAGGATCGCCGAAAAGACTGTTATACTGATTATCCATCTCAACATCGACTGAGGCACTGCCGGACGCGTGCGTACTGCTAAGTCGTGAATGTGTGTGCAAATGATAAGCGCCGCTTGTGGTGGAGGTGGCCGCAGATGTAATGCGCCCGATGGGAAATTGTGATATTGAGGATGGTGACATTGTATGATAATTGTAGTCTAGTGGAATGATTGCTGGTGTGTGTGTTGTTGTGCTATGGGTGTTCGACGAGGAATTGGATGCGGATCTTGGTGGATACGTTGATTGGTGTGGGGGACTGTTGGATGAGGATGAAGATGATGGTTTATAATTCATATTAACATCGAACGTTTGGGGCTCTTGGTGTAGAGGACGACTGCTGTTTCAATGAAACTTTTGCCTGTGTGAATCCCGAGATGAGATGGCGCTGCTAATCTGCAAGTAAAGTTAGAAAAGTTATTTAGAAAGAAATATGTAAAGCTGAACCTATCACCTGTATACATAGCCTTCTTTCGCAATGCGTAGAGGTCGACCTCGTTGTTTTTTAGTCGCGTTAAGACAAAATACGTCCGCATTAATCTGCATTTGTGTAAGAAAGTTGAGATACGCCTTGGTATATGTGAAGTTCGGTGTTGGATGTCCGAGTTTGCAGTTGCAACGTCTGGCTTCAAACATGCATGATGTGTGCTCGCAGACTTCAAACCAAAACCAAAAAGTTTTATTGGAGATTTGGTTTTTACTTGGAGATTTGTATATGCATAGATTAGCCACTTATAGCCACTTTGAGTTGCATGGAGGATCTATTAACTTTGTATTGGATTGTGTAAGTGCCCTTCATTACTTCTGCGATACTGGATGATGCATTTATAGTGCATGGAAGAACGTCCCGGAAGTTAATTTGTGATTTGATGGCCGCCAAACGTTTTCATCTAAAAAAAGTTTATAAGCGGAGGAAGATTAAAAATTCTGGAGGGGTAGTAATAAATTGCAATTCTTCACACAGATCTCGGAAGACACTTTTCTCTACTTTCTTGTCGAAACGCGCACTTAAAAATCGGATGGCTGTCATGTGACACAAAAGGGCAGCTGAGAGCGCCACAACTGTTACTTAGCTTTAATACTTTAGTCCAGGAGGGGAAAATTGCAAAGCGTTAAGACCGAACCGGGCACTTTACTATACCGACGTGTCAATGGTAAGTGTTGCAGACGTTCGCCACTTGTTTGCTTCGACGCTTCACTTCGTTTGTGGCAACTATGCATCGCATGTTGCACGTGCCAGCAACGCTGCAGTTGCACGTGTGTGTGTGTGTGTGTGTGCTGAGGCGAATCTTTAAATTTCACGCTTCGTTTCAGGTTTACCATGTGCACAAATAAGCATTCATTATTTCACTTAGATATAATTTCTTTTTTTTTGTCTTGTGCATACTACCGTTGTTGGTGGCTGGCTGTCGGAATTCAGACATCGCTGTGTGAAAGAGAGCAGCAAATTAAAGCAGCCTTCACAACATGCCACGAGATGCCCTCGCGATTATAAATTATCAAACAACAAGTAAGTAATTAAAACACACATTCCGGTACTTAGTTTTGTATATATATAAACTTGAAAACAAATAAGTATTTAGTGCAAAATCGTCTTTGTTTTTATATATCTATAATTTATATTAAAATTGATTAGTGCTTTTCTCGCCAGCAATCGCAAAATAAATAAGCATCATTTTCAGCTGACTATTCAAGCGATTTAGCTCTTCGCTGCTCTAATTTCAGTATAAAACTATTATTGAAATGAATTTGGCATTGATTTTTGCTTATTAAGTGTTTAGCCTACTTTTAGGCGCCATACCCCCGCTGATCAGCGCATTTGGTGGTTACGCTTATAAAACATGCGCTTTGGTTTGACCGAAAAGCTGTCGCTAAATATAGATTTCGACTTCCTGTTTGCTTTGTGCATTGAAATGTGTGTGTGTTCTGACACTGGCACTGCTTCCTTCACCCCACACATGTATACATTGCTTTTTACTCTTTTCTCTTGTTTTCATGCGGCTTTTATGGCACACTTATACTTATTCGCACTTCTTTTTGCCGCAGTCGCGCTGGTGGCTACTCCAACAGCTCTTGCAAACACAGCACACACCATAGTCTTGTCGATGTAAGGATAAGAAATAAATAAAGGAATCTAGGTCAGAGCATTTATGCTTTTATGCTGAATGACTACAGTTGCTTGGCATGTCCTTTGACCCAAATGGCAGACTGAGTAAATTACCGTTGTGACACCTGGTAATATACCGAGGGGTTTACGCACCCAAATGAGCGGAAGAGGACGGGTTAGGTGCTCGAGTAAGTGTCTCACAATGAATTGCAAGGAACACAATGCCATTGAGAGCCGCAATTGGAGTTTCAAGGCGTGTGTTTGCTGTTGAACGAGTGACGTGGTGTGGTGGCAACTATTGTGTCTGCAGGGGTTTTTCGCCGGAAATTATGAGGCTCCCGGTGCACTTGAACGCCGCAACGATACTGCCTTGCTTTTACAACCTTTTCCACTTGTGTTACTATAAATCACCGAACATGTTTTCGCAGATTAAATGCAAATTTTCCGTAATCATTTCGATGCACTTCCTGTTAAATAAATTTCCAACTACACAAGTGCCAAAAACAAAATGTCAAATAAGTATCGTCTCAGCCACAATTAAGCTCTGTTAGAATAAGTTGGCATTGTGGCTACCAAACCTTTGTATGCCCGTGTGAGTGTCGGATGCATGGCGCAAAGTGAAAGTGAGCCAAATAAATCATGTTGCAAAAATAAACTGTTGCACAGTTGCAGGGTTGCAAATGCTGGTTATTTTTGTTGAAGCGCCGTTGCGACTTTAAGACACACACTCATACAAACACTCTCAGGCACAAACGAAAACTCGAACCAGGTGTTCCAGTGGTTGAGCCATAATAATTTTTGAGGCAAAATACTGTCACTGCTCCTCTTTAAAAATACGGTGATAATACATGTATTATGGATAAACGATGCAAAGTCGAAGCTTTTTAAAATCATGAACATTGAATAATTTGCAGTGAAACCAAGATTATTTAATGCGCCATGTTGAAGAGAATCTCATAGAATCTCTTTGAATAAAAGTATTATACTAGTAACCAATTTTCACAATTTTCTTGTTTACTAAAAAGGGAAAGACAGCTAAGAAGATACACAAAGAACTTATTACCAGAGAGGAAGATGGTTTACAGCTTTGTCTTATCTTTTTCACATATATCGTCAGAGTATCGTTGCAATTTAAGTAACGAGTGCTCTATTTTAACAAAAATTTCATCATTGCACATCCTTTTTCAAAAAGTATCATTTTAATGAATATTTAAACCAGCTCTCGCAATCACAAGTGCCTCTTATTCCGTTAATAATAATATTTGATAGTTGAAAACGGCAAAGTTCTACGATGTCTCGCAGATTCAAACTTTGAGTAAATCAAAGTGGAGAGTTTAATTTAATTTTGACTTTTCAATTTCAATTTAAAGTGTTTTTCACACGCGAGACACTAACAACATCATGCAAAAGTCAGAAGTACAATAGTAATGCGCCGTCACCGACTACCGACTGTCCAACAAGCGCGCCAACACCAATAAGTCTTTAAGAACGAAACTTTTGTCAGCGCAATAAGGCGGCCTACTAACTTCACTGAAATTACTTGGTTAGTTGGCGGCTTTGCTAACTCGTTAAATACCCCGTAAGCCACCTGAAGCGGGAGAAGTTCTTGTTCGGATTCTCCCATTAAAGTAATTTCTCACTCAAGCAAAACAGCGCAAAGTGTGCAGAAGTGATTCCTATCGAACACACACACACCCGTGCACGTTTAGTGGTTTTGCAACCTGGTGCACACCTACACATTCACGTAGCACCGTGATTACTAACGCCGCTCTCTCTTGCTACCTGGTAAGGTAACGTATGTGTAAGTATACTAATTTCATGCGCGTGTGTGTGTGCAGCACTGATTATTTTGCTTTCTGTTTTTATTTTTCTCTACGCGGCGAAATAACCTGTTGTTGTCGCTTCCAATTCGCGAAATTCGCCACTTTTCAGATTTCCCACGTGATGTACCCCTCCACTTTTGTGGGCTAGTCCACTATGCAACTTTCTTTTTGAAATTCAATTATTGTTGTATTGGTGGTTGTTGTGTATTGAACTATATTCCATTCACCCGCGATTTTCTGCCCTTTGATGATAAACAAATTGACATGTGACTTTGAGCTCGTTGAAGATGACCGCTTTGAAATCAATGCGTTTTTGAAATTTTCTTATAGTTCATAAGCGAATGTGAAATGCTCTTATTATTATAATCAATTTGTTTCATTGGCATTTGCACATCAGGCAAGATAATCAGCATGGAGTTGATCATTGAGTTGATTCCATTATGGCTCAGGGCCTGGACATGGGAAGTACCGGGTTTCTATGTTTTGATAACTCTTCTGCGGAATCTTGGAAACCACGCACTTAAAAGAAAATAATAAAAAAAAGGCTTTTAACTTATTTTTATTTAAATTGAGCCACCAGAACATGGGATAAGTTAGTTAATCTCAACCATCAATAAGTTAGTTGTTCTTTTTTTTTAGTTTTTAAACTTGAGATTAATAATTTTCGATTTCACAGAATATAAATTATTTACAGAAATTCACAAGCATTTATAATATGTAATGTACTCTACTCTACTCTAAAGGGGAGGCACATCATCAACAACAACGCTTTAACGAGTCTCGACTACAAAACTTGCGGCTAAAACATAAACAACTTTGCGCTGTTTTTCTCCGTCAAAGTTGATTGAATTTCCTTGGCTTTGGCCGAGGGGTCAAAGTAATAAAACTATTAGAACAACAACATTAGCAATACTAATAACAAAACACAAGTGTAACGACACTGCAATAGAATGCAAATGAATCGAACGAAAGAGGTAGCATAGCCAAGAGCACAGTCGAGTATAAGCACTGGCTGTAAGCTGGCTCTCCGTGCGATAAACAGCGAAATGAGAATCTCGTTAGACCCACTGCAGTGTGAGTGGTAGTTGGTTGAACGAAGTGCATTGCTTTTGAATATGTGTGGAAATCCTTGGCTAATGGCCACGCGCGGCACTGGGTTACTAGACAAGTCAGCGACTCAGTCGGTCAGTATACCGTGTACGAGCCGATGTGTGAGTGAACAAGAAGTGGTCGTTCCGTGTTGGCGAATCCAAACCTGCATGCGGCGCCTGCTGGCACTCAATACAGGGGCATACCTCGCTTGAATGTCGAGTGCGAGGACGAGCCACTGCGGTCAGCGCCCGAGGCGGCCCACCTGAAGAAAGCGTAGTATGTGGTTAAGTGCATAATATATGCAATAGGTAGCTTAGTAAGCCGCTTCCATGTGGTTACGCAGTAGAGTCGTACCTGACTGTTGATGTTGGGCCTTTGCATGGGCCGTTCACCAACAAGATATTTATGTAAACGAAGGGTTTCCAAATGCATCCGCTTGCTCTGTGACCGAGTGGGTGGCACCGATTAATGTGGGGTGAGTCAGCTCGCTTATGTTCGTGATATTGCTTCTAAGAATGCATGTGTGTGTGTCGGTTTTGTCATGCACCGGATTTTTACTGGGATTTTCCTCTACGCGAGCAATTTTTTGACGATTCATTACACGTAAAACGTTGAAATTTTCATATTCTGAGTTAAATGACCGATTTAATGAGAAGTTGTAAGGCAAAAGTGCTTGGCTTTAAGGTTTTCAGCAGAATTTAAGAACTTGTCACACCGAGAATGAACCACCTTAATAATTTTTGCACAGGGCACATAATACTTGTATATGCATATATATATTTCTATATAGTATTCACAAATATGGTTTCACTGCTATACATTTATCTATTACATTTTCTTCTTGATCACTTAAATTTGGAAAACTATAGGTTCGTTTTGGGTTTGAAAGACTTTCGTATATGTTTGGTCGTTTTAGATTTGCACAACAACAATTCCTTGCGCAACGAAGAAATATTTTAATTGTAAGAATGTGCACATTCACTATATATATCTTACTATATATACATATTTATATAAATTTTTGCGACCGTACCGCAATTTCAAGCCGTTTTCCTTTTCTGCATCGATCCGCTGCACTTGCCGTCCGTTAAGAAACTGAAAAGCATTTTTCCTCTCGCTGGCCAACTTGAATTTCCTTGCCACTTTACTTTCAGTGCCTGTTAATTTTTATTTTCCTTCTTTATTTTGTGAAATTTACCTTTGTCCAAAGAACACAAAGTTGAGTGGTTTTCTTTTGGACACATTTCTGCGGTGCACGTGTGTATGTATGCGACGGAGCATGTGTGTGTGTTGGAGAGTGTATGCCACAGTGTGCGCAACTTTCTCCAAGAATTGTTTTTGCATTAGTTGTTGCGATTGGCAAGCTCGCA